AGACTCCCACACTATTTTTTTTTAACACAGCTTGCGAGCTGGTCCCAACACAGCTCCACAGTACTGCTGCAAAATGTCCTGTTAAATCAGATACTGCTCCTGATGGGTGGCGAGGATGCGGTGGGGTCGTGTTCACAGTGTCGGGCGAGTTTTGAGTGGGGGTGGTAGCGGGTGGTGGCGAGAGGAAGACTACGTTGGCGAGGACCTGTAACTTGTACCGAAACCACTCCCGTGAATATCCGCGAAAGACCCGATTTCAGATGAAACCAGCTGCATCCGACTTTTTGTCCGTACACGCCGAAATTTTCGGGAAGAGCCGAAACTACTACTACTCCCCCTCTGCTCCATATAACAAAATAATGCGCAAATGTCGGTCGATGTCGCTCGTACCCCTGAAGATGGCGGGCACAACTCCAGCTGTAAAACTCTTGAACCGCTGCACGAACTCTCCGAAAATGTCGGAACCACGCAGTACTTAGTAGATACCGTAACTCCGCTTCACAACTATCCGTAAAAATGCCCAGGCGACACGGCGTCCTTTAGCAGCGCTCCCCACGGTTTCTCCACCAGCTGTACGCATGAACTCAACCCTTTATCGTAGGGTTTACCAGAGTCCACCGCCTCGGCATGATGTTTTGGCAGTCGATCTGGGTCAATGCGCATCATACGCCGTCGATCTCCGCCCAGCTGTTACCCAATGTTCAAATACTCTAGTACCCTTGCCAGCTAGCGGCGCAGACGTTCACCCATCTCGCGGCTGCTGCAGGTTACCCAAAACCGCTTCGCTGCTGCTTAACTAACTAGGAGAATCCGCAGAGATAGGAGTGCGCACGCTTCTAGTCAGAGGAGCTTTAACGAGCTCGCCTACAGACCGCTGGACCGCTCCCGCCTCCGTCAGAAACTCGTCAAACTACACCCGCAAAAGGCGGAACCTCCTTCTGCCGCATCAGGTAAACTCCCTCAGCTGCACTGCAACAGTAACTCCCTTTTTTTTTTCGTTTTCTTCTTCAGGGACACTCCATCAGCACAGTGTAGTTTGCAGGTTCACCCCCTTATTCATCCAAGAGCCGTCGATTAACAAATCGACACTGCTACCTGGTGGGAATGGTGATTTCCGGGCGACGTAGCTGAGCGAGTAGCAGCCCGAACGCCGCTAACCCATCTGCTCCAGTACTCCCGTTGTTCTTCTCCCACTGCTTAGCTACTGACAGGTAACGCATTCGGCGACCGGTGGAAACACTTTAATACACACCCAGGGGCGGTGGCCTCCGTTTCCGTTGATCGTGGGGGTATGAATCGCTGGTCCGCGGAAAACGCCTCCCCACGAGGGAAGTCGCCCTCGCTGAGTACACTCACTCCAGCACAGCGTCATCTCCTCCAAATGGTCGTCGTGTGAATAGCGCCGAGGTCTTTAATCCCGACGGCTCCCACACAACTGCACACTCACACGTGCTTCGTGCGATCGTGTCGTTCCGAAATTGTCGGATCCGCCATTGCCGAAACAGTGTTGAAGCCCCGTCCATCGTCTGCAACTAGCCTGCCGGTAACGCCGACGCCAGCGACGCAACTGCCTTTCACCATTCAGCTACATGGCACAACAAACGCCCATCGCGGTGCGTCCCGCCATTTTCGCCACCCCGCACGTTCCTGACGACCATCTCCAGCCGCCTGAGGACTCCCGTGCACTTGTCTCTTCGCGACGACCATCTCCCCGGCCGCCTGACGAGTCCTCGCTATTTTCGGAAGCCAATCCGAACACTTCGCTAGAAACTCCCGAAAATTCCGAAAACACTATCGAACATACCCGAAAAACACGGCAAAAACGTCGTCCACTCTTTGACGGGGAATAATTCCGTCTCCGCCCGGGGAAGGGGAGGACCGGCCAATCCCAGCCGTCCATCGGACAAGATCTGACGGCATCGGCAACGCCCGCGCAATTAAATTCCTCGACGTGCGCTCGCCATCAGCATCCTTCCGCCCCCTTCCCCGATAGGTTCTGCTCCCCTATCGAAAAAACTAGATGGGCAGAATCGGGGCTCTGATACCAGCTGTTATGAATTATAACTCAGAGTATAGCGCAGAATACTATAGGGGAACGTGATTCCAGAGTCCTCCTGAATAATGAGACCTAGGCTTGTATCGTGCGAGTTGACCAGGTCGAAATGTCGAGGGTTGGACCAGTCGAGGGCTAGGTAGTCCCGAGGGTGACGGGGTCAAACGGGTTCGGGGCGACTCGAGGTCAGGTTGGGGCCGAAAGGTCGTCAAGGGCTGGTTTGGCGCGATAAACCAGGGCCGAGCCTGCGGACCCGCACTTTTCACGGTACTTGCTGTGGCGAATCCCTGTAAGGAATCGGAATTCGCAGCAGCTGGGCTGGGTTATGCACACGGAAAGTCCTAAAATGTATGCGCGCAGTTTCAAGTGTCCTTCCGCCCGAACACTTCGTGTGTCGGGGGCAGGGGCGGAATCGGCAGGGGGTGGGGCACACGCGTCAATTGTTTCTGCTCTCGCCTTGGTGTAAGGAATTCCGATTCCTTACAGGGACTCGCCACAGCGAGTATCGCGAACAGTGCGGGTCCGCAGGCTCGGCCCTGGTTTATTGCGCCAAACCAGCCCTTGACGACTTTTTCGGCCCCCAACCTGACCCCGAGTCGCCCTGAACCCGTTTTGACCCCGTCACCCTCGGGACTACCTAGCCCTCGACTGGTCCAACCCTCGACATTTCGACCTGGTCAACTCGCACTATATAAGCCCTAGGTCTCATTATTCAGGAGGACTCTGGAATCACGTTCCCCTATAGTATTCTGCGCTATACTCTTGAGTTATAATTCATAACAGCTGGTATCAGAGCCCCGATTCTGCCCATCTAGTTTCCGATAGGGGAGCAGACCTTATCGGGGAAGGGGCGGAAGGATGCTGATGGCGAGCGCACGTCGAGGAAATTAATTGCGCGGGCGTTGCCGGATGCCGTCAGATCTTGTCCCGATGGACGGCTGGGATTGGCCGGTCCTCCCCTTCCCCGGGCGGAGACGGAATTATTCCCCGTCAAAGAGTGGACGACGTTTTTGCCGTGTTTTTCGGGTATGTTCGATAGTGTTTCGGAATTTTCGGGAGTTTCTAGCGAAGTGTTCGGATTGGCTTCCGAAAATAGCGAGGACTCGTCAGGCGGCCGGGAGATGGTCGTCGCGAAGAGACAAGTGCACGGGAGTCCTCAGGCGGCTGGGAGATGGTCGTCAGGAACGTGCGGGGTGGCGAAAATGGCGGGACGCACCGCGATGGGCGTTTGTTGTGCCATGTAGCTGAATGGTGAAAGGCAGTTGCGTCGCTGGCGTCGGCGTTACCGGCAGGCTAGTTGCAGACGATGGACGGGGCTTCAACACTGTTTCGGCAATGGGCGGATCCGACAATTTCGGAACGACACGATCGCACGAAGCACGTGTGAGTGTGCAGTTGTGTGGGAGCCGTCGGGATTAAAGACCTCGGCGCTATTCACACGACGACCATTTGGAGGAGATGACGCTGTGCTGGAGTGAGTGTACTCAGCGAGGGCGACTTCCCTCGTGGGGAGGCGTTTTCCGCGGACCAGCGATTCATACCCCCACGATCAACGGAAACGGAGGCCACCGCCCCTGGGTGTGTATTAAGTGTTTTCCACCGGTCGCCGAATGCGTTACCTGTCAGTAGCTAAGCAGTGGGAGAAGAACAACGGGAGTACTGGAGCAGATGGGTTAGCGGCGTTCGGGCTGCTACTCGCTCAGCTACGTCGCCCGGAAATCACCATTCCCACCAGGTAGCAGTGTCGATTTGTTAATCGACGGCTCTTGGATGAATAAGGGGGGTGAACCTGCAAACTACACTGTGCTGATGGAGTGTCCCTGAAGAAGAAAACGAAAAAAAAAGGGAGTTACTGTTGCAGTGCAGCTGAGGGAGTTTACCTGATGCGGCAGAAGGAGGTTCCGCCTTTTGCGGGTGTAGTTTGACGAGTTTCTGACGGAGGCGGGAGCGGTCCAGCGGTCTGTAGGCGAGCTCGTTAAAGCTCCTCTGACTAGAAGCGTGCGCACTCCTATCTCTGCGGATTCTCCTAGTTAGTTAAGCAGCAGCGAAGCGGTTTTGGGTAACCTGCAGCAGCCGCGAGATGGGTGAACGTCTGCGCCGCTAGCTGGCAAGGGTACTAGAGTATTTGAACATTGGGTAACAGCTGGGCGGAGATCGACGGCGTATGATGCGCATTGACCCAGATCGACTGCCAAAACATCATGCCGAGGCGGTGGACTCTGGTAAACCCTACGATAAAGGGTTCATTTCATGCGTACAGCTGGTGGAGAAACCTTGGGGAGCGCTGCTAAAGGACGCCGTGTCGCCTAGGCATTTTTACGGATAGTTGTGAAGCGGAGTTACGGTATCTACTAAGTACTGCGTGGTTCCGACATTTTCGGAGAGTTTGTGCAGCGGTTCGAGCGTTTACAGCTGGAGTTGTGCCCGCTATCTTCAGGGGTACGAGAGACATCGACCGACATTTGCGGAGTGTTTTGGTTGTATGGAGCAGAAAGGGAGCAGCGGCAGTTTCGGTTCTTCCCGAAATTTTCGGCATGTAAGGACAAAAAGGCGGATGCAGCTGGTGTCCTTTGAAATCGGGTTCTGTTCGCGGATATTCACGGGAGTGGTTCGGTACAGGTTACAGGTCATCGCTCTCGTCGTCAGCCTTTCGCCTCAACCCGCTACCACCTCCATTTTCAATTCGCCAGCCAAAATGAACACGACCGCGCCGCATCCTCGCCACCCATCAGGAGCAGTACAAAAACGAGAAGATTTTGCTGGAGTGCTGTGGAGCTGTGTTGGGGCCAACTCGCCAGGAGTGTTTAAATTCTGAAAAATATATATATATATAGTATTCTGCGCTATACTCAACGGCTTTGAAACGAAATTTCTGCAATTTGGGTCAACGGCTTTAAGCTCTGCGCCCTTATCTCTTTCTCCTGCGCTCCTCTTCCCCACTCCCTCGTCTCTTCCCCCACCACCCCCCAGTCTTTCAGGCAAGGCAAAGGCCTTGCACGAGACAAAGCAGCTCTCCGTCCCGGGCAGTATCGGAGCCCCCCAGGCCGGGCAGTATCGGACCCCCCCAGGCCGGGTAGTATCGGACCCCCCCAAGCCGGGCAGTATCGGACCCCCCCAGGCCGGGCAGTATCGGACCCCCCCAGGCCGGGCAGTATCGGATCTCCCCAGGAACAGCGCGCCCCATCCCCGTGGAACAGCGCGCCCCATCCCCGTGGCACAGCGCGCCCCATCCCCGTGGCACAGCCGCCGCCTTCACCGCCATGGCTCTGCCGCAGCACCGCCGCGCCGCGGTGCTTTCATACGCGCCGTTGAAGCGGCGCGGCGCCGCGGGGTCGGTGGCTCGCGTGGTCGGCGGCGACGGGCGCCGGGCGGACGGGCGGTCGCTGGAGGAGAGCCGCCCCGCATGTGAGCGTGCAGGGGACGTGTGGGCCGGTAGCGCGCAGGGGACGCGTGCGCCGGTAGCGCGCAGGGGACGCGTGCGCCGGTAGCGCGCAGGGGACGTGTGGGCCGGTAGCGCGCAGGGGACGTGTGGGCCGGTAGCGCGCAGGGGACGTGTGCGCCGGTAGCGCGCAGGGGACGTGTGGGCCGGTAGCGCGCAGGGGACGTGTGGGCCGGTAGCGCGCAGGGGACGTGTGGGCCGGTAGCGCGCAGGGGACGTGTGGGCCGGTAGCGCGCAGGGGACGCGTGCGCCGGTAGCGCGCAGGGGACGCGTGCGCCGGTAGCACGCAGGGGACGTGTGGGCCGGTAGCGCGCAGGGGACGTGTGGGCCGGTAGCGCGCAGGGGACGTGTGCGCCGGTAGCGCGCAGGGGACGCGTGCGCCGGTAGCGCGCAGGGGACGCGTGCGCCGGTAGCGCGCAGGGGACGTGTGGGCCGGTAGCGCGCAGGGGACGTGTGCGCCGGTAGCGCGCAGGGGACGCGTGCGCCGGTAGCGCGCAGGGGACGCGTGCGCCGGTAGCGCGCAGGGGACGCGTGCGCCGGTAGCGCGCAGGGGACGTGTGGGCCGGTAGCGCGCAGGGGACTTGTGCGCCGGTAGCGCGCAGGGGACGCGTGCGCCGGTAGCGCGCAGGGGACGTGTGGGCCGGTTGCGCGTGAGTGGTGTGGGTCGGGTGTGACGGTAGGTGGTGGTGCTGCTGCTGCGGGGTCGTGTTCGTTTGTCAGTATAATGGGGGCCACACGGCATACAGTCAGGGACTTGCGGATCATGCCGTTCGAGTCGTTATCATTGTATGGGGAAACGACTATAGTCGTTATCATTGTATGGGGAAACGAGTATAGTCTTTATCTCCCTCTCCTTCCCCTCTATTCGTTATTCCTTCCACTGCCGTTTTCCTCCCCCTCCCTGCTCCCTCCCCGTGGGAGCCATTGGCTCGCGTGCCTCATCCGTGGTGTGCGCCGTCGCTTCATCTCGCAGGGCATCCCTCTCTCTCTCCTGCGCCTTCCCTTTCGTCCCGCGCCGCGCCTCGCTTTCACCGTTTGTGTCTTCCACGCCCGCTCTCCCTTCCCCTGCCTTCTTGTCTCGCCGTCGCCTCTCCACCACATGGCATGGCATGGCAAGGAGCGCTCCTTCAAGCTGCGCGCTGCCATGAGTCGTCCAATGTCGTGCGCTCCTCCCCCCGCGCAGTCCTCAGGACAAAGACGGTCACGCAGGCAGCAGGATCGGCGTACGCCGAGTTTGGCGGCACCAAAGTGATAGTGGCCGTGTGAGTGCAGTGCAGCAAGGAGGGCTGTGGTGGGCGAGTGGTCACTAATCTCGTGCGTCCACGTCGCACGCACGGGGGCGCCCTTCACTTGCAAGTGCCGCGCTCGCATGCCTTTCCCCTCGTTTCGGCTGCCCTTCGGATGACGATTGTTGGGCTGTCGGGCACACGGTGTCGCGTCGCGTCGCGGCCAGCCGCCACTGTTGCTACTCATGCTCATGTCTTCCCACTTGCGCGCCTGCGTCACTTACACATCCACGGCTGTTGCTCATGCTCCTTGCGTCCTCACTCACCCCTTTCTCACGGTCGCAAGGCAAACCCGTCTTTCTGAGGCGCGTCATGCGCCGCCCGTGCTGCTGCGTGCATCCATTCCCGAGATCTCCCCCCTCCCCCCCCCCTGTCTGCCAGCTTTGGCCCGCGGGAGAGTCGCAAGGCGGAGCAGTCGATGGGGGGCAAGGGGCGGCTCAAGTGCGACGTCAGGATAGCGCCGTTCGCCACGCCCAACCGGAATAGCAACGCCCAGGTCATTCCTCTTGACTCTCAGGTCATTCCTCTTGACTCTCAGGTCATTCCTCTTGACTCTCAGGTCATTCCTCTTGACTCTCAGGTCATTCCTCTTCACTCTCAGGTCATTCCTCTTGACTCTCAGGTCATTCCCGCCAATGGGGTGTTTTGCCAATGCTTGGTTAATCCCCCATGTTCAGGTAATTCCCCCCCAATGCTCAGGTGATTCCCCCCAATGCTCAGGTGATTCCCCCCAATGCTCAGGTGATTCCCCCCAATGCTCAGGTGATTCCCCCCAATGCTCAGGTGATTCCCCCCAATGCTCAGGTGATTCCCCCCAATGCTCAGGTGATTCCCCCAATGCTCAGGTGATTCCCCCCAATGCTCAGGTGATTCCCCCCAATGCTCAGGTGATTCCCCCCAATGCTCGGGGGATTCCTCCAAATCCGAAAGCCTGAGAAATTGTATCAAGGTGTGGCATGGCATGGGATGAAGGCCTTTTGCGTGCTCCCCTCCCTGTCTTCCCACCAATGGCTCGCTGCCTCACTGGGGCACGCCGTCTGCTCAAAGCATTCAAGCCACGCCCTGCTGCCACCAATTCCTCCCTCCCTGCTCTTTCCTGTCATGCCAGCCCCAGTGGGGCCGGCTGTGACCCTCACTCTCCAGCAGCATGGGCACTGCTGCAGCATGGGCGCTGCAACAGCATGGGCCCTGCAGCAGCACGCCACGCGAGTTTGAGATGGCATGTGGACCGCCCATGCACCTTCTCGTCCCCACAGCCGTAACCCTCCCATCCGAGCGTGTGCTTCAGCCATTGCAGGGCGGGGAGGAGAGTATGCAAGCGAGCCAGAAGTTATGCCTCACGACCCCATGGCCGCATGCTCCCTTGAACCATGATAAACACGGCCGTACAACCCCTTAACCCCACCCCCATGCCCCATGCGCCCCCAGCAGGGCTTGGAGGAGCGGTACGCGAGTGAGGTGGAGGGCGCGCTGCTGCCGGCCGTGCAGCTGCACCTCTTCCCCAAGGCCACGCTCGATGTGTCCGTGCTGCTGCTCCAGTCAGGGGGGGGTACGCACTGGGGCTTGGGGGGGGTTGAGGCACTCACACATGGGGGGATGGAGGCAGTGACTCGTGGGGGAGGTGAGGCAGTGACACATGGGGTGCTGTGTGGTGATGGTGATTGCTTATGATTGCCCTTGCCCACGCTGCCCGCACTGCTCTCGTTGCTCTCCCTGCTCTCTCTGATGCGCCCATGCTCTGATGCGCCCATGCTCTCATGCGCCCATGCTCTGATGCGCCCATGCTCTCATGCGCCCATGCTCTCATGCGCCCATGCTCTCATGCGCCCATGCTCTCATGCGCCCATGCTCTCATGCGCCCATGCTCTCATGCGCCCATGCTCTCATGCGCCCATGCTCCTCATGCGCCCCCTGATGCCCTCCTCATGCGCCCATGCTCTCATGCGCCCATGCTCTGATGCGCCCATGCTCTCATGCGCCCATGCTCTCATGCGCCCATGCTCTCATGCGCCCATGCTCTCATGCGCCCATGCTCTCATGCGCCCATGCTCTCATGCGCCCATGCTCTCATGCGCCCATGCTCTCATGCGCCCATGCTCTCATGCGCCCATGCTCTCATGCGCCCATGCTCTCATGCGCCCATGCTCTCATGCGCCCATGCTCTCATGCGCCCATGCTCTCATGCGCCATGCTCTCATGCGTCCCATGCTCTCATGCGCCCATGCTCTCATGCGTCCATGCTCTCATGCGCCCATGCTCTCATGCGCCCATGCTCTCATGCGCCCATGCTCTCATGCGCCCATGCTCTCATGCGCCCATGCTCTCATGCGCCCATGCTCTCATGCGCCCATGCTCTCATGCGCCCATGCTCTCATGCGCCCATGCTCTCATGCGCCCATGCTCTCATGCGCCCATGCTCTCATGCGCCCATGCTCTCATGCGCCCATGCTCTCATGCGCCCATGCTCTCATGCGCCCATGCTCTCATGCGCCCATGCTCTCATGCGCCCATGCTCTCATGCGTCCATGCTCTCATGCGCCCATGCTCTCATGCGCCCATGCTCTCATGCGCCCATGCTCTCATGCGTCCATGCTCTCATGCGCCATGCTCTCATGCGCCCATGCTCTCATGCGCCCATGCTCTCATGCGCCCATGGCTCTCATGCGCCCATGCTCTGATGCGCCCATGCTCTCATGCGCCCATGCTCTCATGCGCCCATGCTCTCATGCGCCCATGCTCTCATGCGCCCATGCTCTCATGCGCCCATGCTCTCATGCGCCCATGCTCTCATGCGCCCATGCTCTCATGCGCCCATGCTCTCATGCGCCCATGCTCTCATGCGCCCATGCTCTCATGCGCCCATGCTCTCATGCGCCCATGCTCTCATGCGCCCATGCTCTCATGCGCCCATGCTCTCATGGCCCATGCTCTCATGCGCCCATGCTCTCATGCGCCCATGCTCTCATGCGCCCATGCTCTCATGCGCCCATGCTCTCATGCGCCCATGCTCTCATGCGCCCATGCTCTCATGCGCCCATGCTCTCATGCGCCCATGCTCTCATGCGCCCATGCTCTCATGCGCCATGCTCTCATGCGTCCATGCTCTCATGCGTCCATGCTCTCATGCGTCCCATGCTCTCATGCGCCCATGCTCTCATGCGCCCATGCTCTCATGCGCCCATGCTCTCATGCGCCCATGCTCTCATGCGCCCATGCTCTCATGCGCCCATGCTCTCATGCGCCCATGCTCTCATGCGCCCATGCTCTCATGCGCCCATGCTCTCATGCGCGCCCATGCTCTCATGCGGCCATGCTCTCATGCGTCCCATGCTCTCATGCGCCCATGCTCTCATGCGCCCATGCTCTCATGCGCCCATGCTCTCATGCGCCATGCTCTCATGCGCCCATGCTCTCATGCGCCCATGCTCTCATGCGCCCATGCTCTCATGCGCCCATGCTCTCATGCGTCCATGCTCCTCATTGCGCCCATGCTCTCTATGCGCCCCATGCTCTCATGCGCCCATGCTCTCATGCGCCCATGCTCTCATGCGCCCATGCTCTCATGCGCCCATGCTCTCATGCGCCCATGCTCTCATGCGCCCATGCTCTCATGCGCCCATGCTCTCATGCGCCCATGCTCTCATGCGCCCATGCTCTCATGCGCCCATGCTCTCTCATGCGCCCATGCTCTCATGCGCCCATGCTCTCATGCGCCCATGCTCTCATGCGCCCATGCTCTCATGCGCCCATGCTCTCATGCGCCCATGCTCTCATGCGCCCATGCTCTCATGCGTCCATGCTCTCATGCGTCCATGCTCTCATGCGTCCATGCTCTCATGCGCCCATGCTCTCATGCGGCCCATGCTCTCATGCGCCCATGCTCTCATGCGCCCATGCTCTCATGCGCCCATGCTCTCATGCGCCCATGCTCTCATGCGCCCATGCTCTCATGCGCCCATGCTCTCATGCGCCCATGCTCTCATCCCCTCTCGCGCCCATAATGCTCCTCTCATGCGCCCATGCTCTCATGCGGCGCCCATGCTCTCATGCGTCCATGCTCTCCATGCGCCCATGCTCTCATGCGCCCATGCTCTCATGCGCCGCTCCATGCTCTCATGCGCCCATGCTCTCATGCGCCCATGCCTCTCATGCGCCCATGCTCTCATGCGCCCATGGCTCTTCATGCGCCCATGCTCTCATGCGCCCATGCTCTCATGCGCCCATGCTCTCATGCGCCCATGCTCTCATGCGCCCATGCTCTCATGCGCCCATGCTCTCATGCGCCCATGCTCTCATGCGCCCATGCTCTCATGCGCCCATGCTCTCATGCCCATGCTCTCATGCGCCATCCTCATGCTCTCATGCGCCCATGCTCTCATGCGCCCATGCTCTCATGCGCCCATGCTCTCATGCGCCCATGCTCTCATCGCCATGCTCTCATGCGCCATTGCTCTCATGCGCCATGCTCTCATGCGCCCATGCTCTCATGCGCCCATGCTCTCATGCGCCCATGCTCTCCATGCGTCCATGCTCTCATGCGTCCATGCTCTCATGCGTCCATGCTCTCATGCGCCCATGCTCTCATGCGTCCCCGCCCATGCTCTCATGCGCCCATGCTCTCATGCGCCCATGCTCTCATGCGCCCATGCTCTCATGCGCCCATGCTCTCATGCGCCCATGCTCTCATGCGCCCATGCTCTCATGCGCCCATGCTCTCATGCGCCCATGCCTCTCATGCGCCCATGCTCTCATGCGTCCATGCTCTCATGCGCCCATGCTCTCATGCGCCCATGCTCTCATGCGCCCATGCTCTCATGCGCCCATGCTCTCATGCGCCCATGCTCTCATGCGCCCATGCTCTTCATGCGCCCATGCTCTCATGCGCCCATGCTCTCATGCGTCCATGCTCTCATGCGTCCATGCTCTCATGCGCCCATGCTCTCATGCGCCCATGCTCTCATGCGCCCATGCTCTCATGCGCCCATGCTCTCATGCGCCCATGCTCTCATGCGCCCATGCTCTCATGCGCCCATGCTCTCATTTTCATGCGCCCATGCTCTCATGCGCGCCCATGCTCTCATGCGCCCATCGCCATTCTCATGCGCCCATGCTCTCATGCGCCCATGCCTCTCATGCGTCCATGCTCTCATGCGCCCATGCTCTCATGCGCCCATGCTCTCATGCGCCCATGCTCTCATGCGCGCCATGCTCTCATGCGCCCATGCTTCCTCATGCGCCCATGCTCTCATGCGCCCATGCTCTCATGCGATCCCATCTTGCTCTCATGCGTCCCATGCTCTCATGCGCCCATGCTCTCATGCGCCCATGCTCTCATGCGCCCATGCTCTCATGCGCCCCATGCTCTCATGCGCCCATGCTCTCATGCGCCCATGCTCTCATGCGCCCATGCTCTCATGCGCCCATGCTCTCATGCGCCCATGCTCTCATGCGCCCATGCTCTCATGCGCCCATGCTCTCATGCGCCCATGCTCTCATGCGCCCATGCTCTCATGCGCCCATGCTCTCATGCGCCCATGCTCTCATGCGCCCATGCTCTCATGCGCCCATGCTCTCATGCGCCCATGCTCTCATGCGCCCATGCTCTCATGCGCCCATGCTCTCATGCGTCCATGCTCTCATGCGCCATGCTCTCATGCGCCCCATGCTCTCATGCGCCCATGCTCTCATGCGCCCATGCTCTCATGGCCATGCTCTCATGCCAGTCTCATGCGCCCATGCTCTCATGCGCCCATGCTCTCATGCGCCCATGCTCTCATGCGCCCATGCTCTCATGCGCCCATGCTCTCATGCGTCCATGCTCTCATGCGCCCATTGCTCTCATGCGCCCATGCTCTCATGCGCCCATGCTCTCATGCGCCCATGCTCTCATGCGCCCATGCTCTCATGCGCCATGCTCTCATGCGCCCATCTTCATGCATGCTCTCATGCGCCCATGCTCTCATGCGCCCATGCTCTCATGCGTCCATGCTCTCATGCGTCCATGCTCTCATGCGCCCATGCTCTCATGCGCCCATGCTCTCATGCGCCCATGCTCTCATGCGCCATGCTCTCATGCGTCCCATGCTCTCATGCGCCCATGCTCTCATGCGCCCATGCTCTCATGCGCCCATGCTCTCATGCGCCCATGCTCTCATGCGCCCATGCTCTCATGCGCCCATGCTCTCATGCGCCCATGCTCTCATGCGTCCATGCTCTCATGCGCCCATGCTCTCATGCGCCCATGCTCTCATGCGCCCATGCTCTCATGCGCCAGCTCCATGCCCATGCTCTCATGCGCCATGCTCTCATGCGCCCATGCTCTCATGCGCCCATGCTCTCATGCGCCCATGCTCTCATGCGCCCATCCCTCATGCGCCATGCTCTCATGCGTCCATGCTCTCATGCGTCCATGCTCTCATGCGCCATGCTCTCATGCGCCCATGCTCTCATGCGCCCATGCTCTCATGCGCCCATGCTCTCATGCGCCCATGCTCTCATGCGCCCATGCTCTCATGCGCCCATGCTCTCATGCGCCCATGCTCTCATGCGCCCATGCTCTCATGCGCCCATGCTCTCATGCGCCCATGCTCTCATGCCCCATGCTCCCTGCTCATGCGCCATGCTCTCATGCGCCCATGCTCTCATGCGTCCATGCTCTCATGCGCCCATGCTCTCATGCGCCCATGCTCTCATGCGTCCATGCTCTCATGCGTCCATGCTCTCATGCGCCCATGCTCTCATGCGCCCATGCTCTCATGCGCCCATGCTCTCATGCGCCCATGCTCTCATGCGCCCATGCTCTCATGCGCCCATGCTCTCATGCGCCCATGCTCTCATGCGCCCATGCTCTCATGCGCCCATGCTCTCATGCGCCCATGCTCTCATGCGCCCATGCTCTCATGCGCCCATGCTCTCATGCGTCCATGCTCTCATGCGCCCATGCTCTCATGCGCCCATGCTCTCATGCGCCCATGCTCTCATGCGCCCATGCTCTGATGCGCCCATGCTCTCATGCGGCCCATATGCTCTCATGCGTCCATGCTCTCATGCGCCCATGCTCTCATGCGCCCCATGCTCTCATGCCGCCCATGCTCTCATGCTGCTCTCATGGCTCTTCATGCGCCCATGCTCTCTGCGTCCATGCTCTCATGCGTCCATGCTCTCATGCGCCCATGCTCTCATGCGCCCATGCTCTCATGCGCCCATGCTCTCATGCGCCCATGCTCTCATGCGCCCATGCTCTCATGCGCCCATGCTCTCATGCGCCCATGCTCTCATGCGCCCATGCTCTCATGCGCCCATGCTCTCATGCGCCCATGCTCTCATGCGCCCATGCTCTCATGCGTCCATGCTCTCATGCGCCCATGCTCTCAATGCGCCCATGCTCTCATGCGTCCATGCTCTCATGCGCCCATGCTCTCATGCGCCCCATGCTCTCATGCGTCCCATGCTCTCATGCGTCCCATGCTCTCATGCGCCCATGCTCTCATGCGCCCATGCTCTCATGCGCCCATGCTCTCATGCGCCCATGCTCTCATGCGCCCATGCCTCTTCATGCGCCCATGCTCTCATGCGCCCATGCTCTCATGCGCCCATGCTCTCATGCGCCCATGGCTCTCATGCGCCCATGCTCTCATGCGCCCATGCTCTCATGCGCCCATGCTCTCATGCGTCCATGCTTCTCATGCGCCCATGCTCTCATGCGCCCATGCCTCTCATGCGTCCATGCTCTTCTCATGCGCCCATGCTCTCATGCGCCCATGGCTCTCATGCGTCCATGCTCTCATGCGTCCATGCTCTCATGCGCCCATGCTCTCATGCGCCCATGCTCTCATGCGCCCATGCTCTCATGCGCCCATGCTCTCATGCGCCCCATGCTCTCATGCGCCCATGCTCTTCATGCGCCCATGCTCTCATGCGCCCATGCTCTCATGCGCCCATGCTCTCATGCGCCCATGCTCTCATGCGCCCCATGCTCTCATGCGCCCATGCTCTCATGCGTCCCATGCTCTCATGCGCCCATGCTCTCATGCGCCCATGCTCTCATGCGCCCATGCTCTCATGCGCCCATGCTCTGATGCGCCCATGCTCTCATGCGCCCATGCTCTCATGCGTCCATGCTCTCATGCGCCATGCTCTCATGCGCCCATGCTCTCATGCGCCCATGCTCTCATGCGCCCATGGCTCTCATGCGCCCATGCTCTCATGCGCCCATGCTCTCATGCGCCCATGCTCTCATGCGTCCATGCTCTCATGCGTCCATGCTCTCATGCGCCCATGCTCTCATGCGCCCATGCTCTCATGCGCCCATGCTCTCATGCGGCCCATGCTTCTCATGCGGCCCATGCTCTCATGCGCGCCCATGCTCTCATGCGCCCATGCTCTCATGCGCCCATTGCTCTCATGCGCCCATGCTCTCATGCGCCCATGCTCTCATGCGCCCATGCTCTCATGCGTCCATGCTCTCATTGCGCCCATGCCTCTCATGCGCCCATGCTCTCATGCGTCCATGCTCTCCATGCGCCCATGCTCTCATGCGCCCCATGCTCTCATGCGTCCATGCTCTCATGCGTCCATGCTCTCATGCGCCCATGCTCTCATGCGCCCATGCTCTCATGCGCCCATGCTCTCATGCGCCCATGCTCTCATGCGCCCATGCTCTCATGCGCCCATGCTCTCATGCGCCCATGCTCTCATGCGCCCATGCTCTCATGCGCCCATGCTCTCATGCGCCATGCTCTCATGCGCCCATGCTCTCATGCGCCCATGCTCTCATGCGTCCATGCTCTCATGCGCCCATGCTCTCATGCGCCCATGCTCTCATGCGTCCATGCTCTCATGCGTCCATGCTCTCATGCGCCCATGCTCTCATGCGCCCATGCTCTCATGCGCCCATGCTCTCATGCGCCCATGCTCTCAATGCGCCCATGCTCTCATGCGCCCATGCTCTCATGCGCCCATGCTCTCATGCGCCCATGCTCTCATGCGCCCATGCTCTCATGCGCCCATGCTCTCATGCGTCCCCATGCTCTCATGCCGTCCCATGCTCTCATGCGCCCATGCTCTCATGCGCCCATGCTCTCATGCGTCCATGCTCTCATGCGCCCATGCTCTCATGCGCCCATGCTCTCATGCGTCCATGCTCTCATGCGTCCATGCTCTCATGCGCCCATGCTCTCATGCGCCCATGCTCTCATGCGCCCATGCTCTCATGCGCCCATGCTCTCATGCGCCCATGCTCTCATGCGCCCATGCTCTCATGCGCCCATGCTCTCATGCGCCCATGCTCTCATGCGCCCATGCTCTCATGCGCCCATGCTCTCATGCGCCCATGCTCTCATGCGCCCATGCTCTCATGCGTCCATGCTCTCATGCGCCCATGCTCTCATGCGCCCATGCTCTCATGCGCCCATGCTCTCATGCGTCCATGCTCTCATGCGCCCATGCTCTCATGCGCCCATGCTCTCATGCGCCCATGCTCTCATGCGCCCATGCTCTCATGCGCCCATGCTCTCATGCGTCCATGCTCTGATGCGCCCATGCTCTGATGGTTCAAGCGAGCAGGAAGGCGAGTGAAGCTGGAGCATTGGTGGCAGTGGTGTTGGAAGGGGAGCTCAGTCATCTCCCTCCTTGTGCCCTCTCCTTGCTTCCATTCCTCATGCTCACCTCTCCTTGCACTCGCCTCACCCACCCTGCACCCAGCACCACCACCATCCTCACTCTCCTCTCCCCCACCTTCTCCCCCGGCCGTGTGGCGCGCCTCCAGCGGACGTGGCGGTGATGATGACAGCGGCGGCCATGGCGCTGGCTGATGCGGGCGTGCACCTCCACGACCTCGTCACCGCCGCCGTTGTGGTGCGTGCTGCCTTTAGCGCCCCATGCACACATGCATCTGCCTTTAGCGCCCCATGCACACATGCATCTGCCTTTAGCGCCCCATGCACACATGCATCTGCCTTTAGCGCCCCATGCACACATGCATCTGCCTTTAGCGCCCCATGCACACATGCGTCTGCACCCCCTCGTCACTGTCTCCATTGTGCTACCTGTTCAGTTTAGGTGTAATCTTCTCCTTAGCTGCTCCCTGCAAAACGTCTAGTGAGTGTCTCTGTGTGGTTCGTTTTCTCACTCCACTTTAGTCCGGTAACCTTGTCCTCAGTGGCTGGAAGTGTAGAGTGGTGCGTCGCCACGGCATGTCCATCCGTGCAGTGCAGCGCTCATCGCCAACGTGAATTGTGTGGATTGCCACAGCACCTGCACTTACCCTCCTTCCTCTTGCCCTGCTGTCCTCTCCTTCCTCGCCCTCCTCCCACCACTCACATGCCCAACCACTCAAAATTCCCCCTCCCCCGTGGTACAACCCCCAAACCCGTTGAAAAGGACCCTCTTCTTCTCCGTCCGCTGCTGTCATTCAGAGCGTCTGCCGTGGCGACCTGCTGTTGGACCCCAGCGCTGAGGAGGAGCGCGTGGAGGAGGGGCGGGTGGTGGTGGCACTGATGCCGTCGCTGAGCGAGGTGGTGCTGTGCAGTGTCACGGGCAACATGTCCGTCAAGCGCGTCAAGGACGCTGTGGACCTGGCCATTGCAGGGTGCATGAGATTAGATGAAGTGGTCCGAGCCACAGTCAGGGACGAGGCAGCTGCTGCTGTGATGTAGTTTTCTTATACCAGTGGAACTCACACAGCTGCAGTTGGTCAACTGTGCTGCTGCTACTCTGATCATTTTATGTCTACATTGCTTCCCAAGTTCCAAGCGTACGCTCAAACACACTAGCTAGTGGACTGTAGTAGTGAGTGACATCAGCAATTGCTAGCTAATGTGTAACACGGAGACTGTAATCTACACTGATCAGCAAAACTGATTTCTTAACGAGTGCCGAAAAACTACAGGAAAACTACCTTGAAATCATATACAAGGGCCTGATTTGGGATGGGATTGTGAACAGGCCCCCAAATTGCAGACTTTTTACTTTGATTCTGTTGGGCTGAGAAATGCCCTTAGGATCTTTCCAGAGACTAAGTCCCAGTCGTAGAATGAGGCTTGAGTAGTGCAGCGGAAGTTGAGGCAGTTGAACCCTTGTACTAGTATATGAGAACAAGTGATTGATTAAGGAAACAAGCATACAGCAATATATAGAAGATAGAAAGCAGTTGTAGAGTACAGTTACAGGAACGGTTTATCGAGTCGCACAGCGACTCGATTGCTGCTTCGGTTACCATCCATGATGCTGTAACGGTCAGTCGCAACCTCCAGTTGCGACCTTTCGCATTCTTTGTCCGCCCCCTCGTGTAACCTCCGTTGACTCGCGTGCTCCCTTGTAGTCTTCCTCGAGTGTAGTGTTATACTTCAGAAACGCTTAAGTTCTTTGAGATATTTCCAACACTCCCCTTCGTTTCTGGAGTGCTGTTATGTTCGGATCTGGTGACGTTTGTCTGTCCGGTCAGCAGCATGCAGTGGTCGAATTTTGTCTTCGCCAATTTCTTCGTCAAATAGTCTGCGGCCATTTCTGTCGTCGGGCAGTAACTGAGTTGAAGTCTCCCCTTCGCGATTTCATCCTTGACGAAGAAGTACCGTAGGGCGATGTGCTTGGTTCGGTTGGCGAAGCCATCCTTGTTCGCGATTTTGATCGCGGATTGGTTGTCGCAGAGGAGTGAGAAGGTGGGTAGGGTCGCGATCTTCGCTTCCTCGAGTAACTCCCGTAGGTAGAGTCCTTCCTTGGTCGTAGTACAAAGGGCGATATACTCTGCTTCAGCCGAGGATAGTGCGATTAACTCCTGCTTGCTCGACTGCCAGGAGATAGTTCCGATGGGCTCTAGTCGGTAGATGTAGCCCGTCCTGGATCGTCGATTTTCCTTATCTCCCGCGTGGTCGGCGTCGACGTATCCGAGTAGTCGTACGGACGGTGTTGTTGCTTTGCTGTAGGTAAGCCCGATCGTCGGCGTGGAGACGAAGTAGAGTAGTGCCCGGTTGAGCTCCTCGAGATCTTCCTGTTCCGGTTGCTTCAGATGCGTCGCCAGTTGACTTGCACTGTAGGACAGGTCGGGTCGGCAGGTTACTGCTGCGAATAGTAGGCAGCCGAGCTTCTGTTGATACTCCTGGATTTGCTTCGCGGGGAGTTTTGCGGAGGCGCTGTTGTTATTTCCATAGCGGTAGGGGGTCGGGACCGTAGTCGGCGTCAGTCCGAATTTCTTCGCGATAGTGCCTGCGTACTTTCCAGCGTGTAGGTAGAACGCCGAGTTGTCTTCGACGACATTTAGTCCCAAGTACTGGGTCACTGAGTCGGACACCGTGATCGTCAGGTCTCCTTTCAGCTCCCCTTCGAACCAGGTGGCGATGTCGGTGGTAGAACCGATGTAGAGTAGGTCGTCGACATAGACGATGAGTAGGATGTATTCTCTTCCCTGCTGCAGTCGGTACATGCCTTGGTCATGCGGTAGCTGTAGGAATCCAATTTTTACGAGCCGGCCGTGAAGATGCTGCTGCCAGAGCCGCGGGGCTTGCTTGATCCCGTAAAGGGATTTTGTCAGTTGGCATACTTTCGTGGGGTCATTGATGAATCCGTGGGGTTGTTCGACGAAAATCTCAGCGTCCACAGGTGCGTATAGGAACGCATTCGCGACGTCGATTTGGCGTAGTGGTAATGTCTTCGTGGCCGCGATGGCGAGTAGGATGCGTAATGAGGTGTGACGGGAGACTGGAGCGAAGGTTTCTGTGTAGTCGGTCCCGTATCGTTGATCGAAGCCTCGTACGACCCATCGAGCTTTGAATCGTTCGATGGAGCCGTCTGAGTTGGTCTTAATGCGGTACACCCATTTCCCCGAGAGGACGTTCTTCCCGTTGATGCTTGTTGCAGGTACCAGTTTCCATGTTTTCCGGTCTTGCAGAGCCTTTAACTCCTTTTCCATCGCTTCCTTCCATTTCGCCTTATGTTCCCCCCCCAGAGCCTGCGACAAGGTTGAAGGCTCTCGCGGAGAAGGCGGCGGCGGATGCTGGACGGAGACCCAGAGGCCTAGAATCTGCAGTCCCGTGGGTGTGTGTCGAGGGGAATTTTCATTCCCGGAATAAGCTGCTTCGTCACCGTCTTCTGGGTCAGGTAAGAAGTTGGGACCGATGCGTTCTGAAACATTTGTGTCGACTGGGTGGGGTGTAATGTAACCTTGGTCAGCGAAGTGGTAAAAGGTGTCGAGGTTGTTGCTATCGAGAGGATTTTCTTCGTCGAGTGGAACAGGTACGGAACAGAATGGGAGTGGTCCGGCAGCTTCCGAGGCTTCAGGTACGTCTTCTTCTGCTGCGTCAGCTTCGGCGGCACGGTCGGCGAAGGAACGAAGTCCCGAGAAGCCGTCGGTGGGGTCTTGTGTGTTGGCAATGTTGTCCAGGTAATGCTGCAGCGTCAGTCGCTCGTAGAAGATAACATCTCGTGATGCCACCGTGTTTTTGTTTTGTATGTCGAGAATTTTCCACGCGTGAAAATGTTTGGCGATGCCGAGGTGTAGTCCCCACCGAGCTCGTTGTGTGAAGCGTCCTGCTCGGGCTGTGTGGGGTCTGTACTGTACCATGCAGCCAAAAACTCTGAGTAATTTTGTGCTGCCCCTTTTTCGTGTCCACAACAGGTGCGGTGATGCGTTGTTGGGAAGTGATGACGAGGACAGCAGGTTGTGCAGGTGAACAGCATGTGTCATCGCGTCGGGCCACAGTGTGGTTGGCAGTCTCATCCCCTGAAGCAGTTTTCGCATTGTCGTCTGCAAGGTCCGATTCATGCGTTCTGCTACCCCCTGCTGTTGGTGAGCATAGGGCAGGGACACCAGGCGTCTGATTCCTCTTTCCGCCAGATAGGTCCTGAAGTGTTGTGACTGGTATTCCAGTGCACCGTCTGACTGGAAGCTCTTGAGTTTGAGTCCTGATTCTCGTTCGGCGATGGGAAGCCATGTTGTGAAGGCTTCGAAGGCTTGATCGCGCGTCGTGAGATTGAAGTGCCAGACATATCTGGTTGCGGCGTCGATGAACGTGATGACGTAGTTGAAGTCGGCTTCGGTGTCGTCTCGAGGCATGTTTAAAATATCGCTGTAGACCTTTTCCATCGGAGCGTAAGTAGGTGCGCTTGGGTTGTGATGGGATGGGAAAGATTGATGAGGAAGATCTGCTTCGGGGCATGTGAAGCACCGTGCGCGTGGTCGTCGAAGTTCTTGGCCGCTCGTCGTCAGAAGGGCGTTGCGTTCTAACACATCTGCTTGGATTGTTTGAAGTATCGTGCTGTTTGCAGGATGTCCGAGACGTTGGTGCCAGATGTCGTCGGGAGCGCGGTGACCGGGCGAGCGGTGGTAGATGTCGGCGTTGGAGAAGAACGCGACGACCGAGGCGGGACTTCGACAAGCTTCTCGTGTGGCGGGCATAAGTTGGTCTGCTTCGGTTGGCGGTCCTCGTGTCGCTGGTGGTGGTACTCGGCTGGGTCCTGCTGTCGATACTGCAGGTGATGGTTTTGTTAGGACACGTGCGGGTACTTGTCTTTCTTGTCTGATAACTGCTAATGCTCGTGTTCTCTCTGCTGCAGGTATGGTGTTGGAGTGCCAGAAGCCGTCACTGTCGAAGTCGGGATCAAGATCCGGCGGGTGAGTCCAGGCGGCGAATGATACGATACCGTCGCTGTCGGCAGTACTGCGGTCGGGGACGAAGTCCAACACGAAGACGCCGGACTTCAGGAGGGCACGACCGATGAAGAGGCCGCCTTTCCCGTGGTAAAGCCGAAACTCGTTGGAGTAGGAGTCGCACTCCAGGTGAATCCCCTTGGCCATTAGTTGGCTTACGCTTAGTAGGTTGTATCCCAGATTGTCGACAATGAGCACTTTGTTGAGCTGAAGTATGACGTTTGTCTCCATCGATTGTAACTGAACCACGCCTTGTCTGTTTGTCTTCAGGTTTTCGTTGTTGGCGACGGTGATGACGACGTCGCGGTTGAGGCGTTTCTCCTGTTGCACGAAGCGTCCCGAGGAGCACATGTGTTGACCGCAGCAGCTGTCCAAGAACCAGGTGTTTCGCCTGGTGGGTTCGGCGTTGGCGACCGCAGCATATGTTGGATTGACTTGAAGGCCTTGTGAGCGTGGTGGCGGCAGCTCTTCTTCGTCTGGCGCGTAGGTGGGTGGTGATCCGGGTGCGCAGTTGTCGATGTGTACCATGCAATTGATAATGTTTGGTGTTTGTTGTGCAGATGTTGAAGAGCGCCTTGGGGGACTGGCTTGAGTAGAAGTTACTTGTGGGTCTGCTGCACGGTAAACGCGAGGGCGGTTGCAGTTGACTTTGGAGTGCCCGGAAGTCTGGCAGTTGTGGCAGAACGGCGGTACGATGGTGAGTCCTCGGTTGTCGCGTTGATCTTGCTTGTTGCGTCGGTTGTAGTTGTTGTCATTTCTTCTTTGAGTGTAGAAGACTAACTGCTTTTGCTTCCTTGGTTGTCTTTCCTCGAACAGATCCATCTCCTGTTGTTCAGCGTGAAGCTCGGCGCAGAGGTGCATCTCCGAAATTCTTCCGTGGGCTCGAAGAAGTGATCGTGTGGTTCTCCATTCTGGCCCGAGCCCGGCGAGGACAAGTGTTACGAAGCTTTCTTCAGTGATCGTTCCTCCGCACCGGAGCAGGCGGTCGCGGAGGGTCTGGCAGCGACTCATATACTGCATCGCCTTTTCCCCGGTCTTCATCTGTATTGTTGTCAGCTGTTGCATGAGTCTGCTTTGTGTCACGCTGTCGTTTGCTTGATAGAGGCACTTGAGATGATGCCATGCGAGTTCCGCGGAGTTTCCATAACTCCGATACGTTCTGATGCTCTACTGCTCTTGTGGTGACAGGTTTCTCAGGAGTACCGTATACGCCAGCAGCGACTGATACGTGAAGATTTCTTGTTCCTTCCCAGTGCCGTTGCTTGGGAATGGCAGGGACCCGTTGAAGTATCCCAGAAGGTGCGCGGCCTCCATCAGCAGTTCGAATTCGAAGCTCCAGGTAAAGAAGTCGTGTCCGTTGAACGGTGAGGATGTCTGAAGTTTAATTACGTGTGAGAACTGTGCCTGAAGACTTAAGATTTCGTTCGGTGTTTGTTGTGATGCAGCTGCTGTTGGCTGGGCACGGGGCGGCATGAACTCGAACGTCCCCGGTGAAGAGTGATAAGGCGCAAAAGTAGGTGCTTGATTGTGTCGCCCGAAGGATGAGTTGTCGAGGCTCATCGGCGCTAATCCCATATTCCCTCCATTGCTCTGTGTTGAGTGCGCAGGTGTCCTTGTCTGCTGCTGCTGGTCGAAGTGTGACATGAAGCTGAAGAATCTCTCCATGAGATTCGGGTCCACACTTGAAGAGGGAGACGGAGTCACCATCTCCGGTGCTCTTCCCGTTGTTTCTTGAGCAGTCCCGGTCTCTGTCTGCAGTCCTGAGGTGTGCAGACCAGAGTTGCCGTGTTGAGTTTCTTGGGCGCTGGGTGAGCCCGTAGAGACTTTCTTGCCCTTGTTGTCCATGTCTTGTAATCAATGGAGTTGTTGAATCAAGTCGAGTTGCTGGTTGTTGATGGAGTGTAGTTGCTGGGAGTTTGGTCTCTGACCAGCTCTCATACCATGTTGGGCTGAGAAATGCCCTTAGGATCTTTCCAGAGACTAAGTCCCAGTCGTAGAATGAGGCTTGAGTAGTGCAGCGGAAGTTGAGGCAGTTGAACCCTTGTACTAGTATATGAGAACAAGTGATTGATTAAGGAAACAAGCATACAGCAATATATAGAAGATAAGAAAGCAGCTGTAGAGTACAGTTACAGGAACGGTTTATCGAGTCGCACAGCGACTCGATTGCTGCTTCGGTTACCATCCATGATGCTGTAACGGTCAGTCGCAACCTCCAGTTGCGACCTTTCGCATTCTTTGTCCGCCCCCTCGTGTAACCTCCGTTGACTCGCGTGCTCCCTTGTAGTCTTCCTCGAGTGTAGTGTTATACTTCAGAAACGCTTAAGTTCTTTGAGATATTTCCAACAGATTCAGACTTTTTTCAGAGTTTTTTTGGGGGTGTACTCTGATTCCAAAGACTTTTTTTCTTATGTTACTCTGATTTTTCAGAGAAGTTTTATGTACCTACCCTGATTTTTCAGACTTCTTTTACAAGTGTAGTCTGTTGCTTCATCCTTGTATGGGGGGGGACTCTGATTCCTGTCATATCATCATTTTAGGGGGGGTTGCGAGATTTGCGCTGGTACCTCTGTCGTCACCGTCAATCACGCCAGATTTACATTTGCGCTGGCGCGGCCCGAGCCGTCGGGCGGGCAAATTTTGTGCGATGGCGCCAGCACAGAGTTAGCCCGAGCAGCCGATTGGTCATTGACAAAAACACGGTTGTTTTCACCAATCCAGGCGCATTTCGCTGGGTGAGGCACAGCAGACGAGGCACCGCACCCATGCTGACACGCCGAGTGTCTGGTTTATTAATGCATGGACAGCATCTTGCGCGCCGCGATGGAGTTGCAGCTGGCAGACCCCCTCCTTCTCCATCAGTTCATTACTGACGGGGAAAACGACCCTGCTTCTCCCCCCTCCAACAAAATTTCACCCAAGCTTCGTGTAGCCCCTCGGTTTTCTTTCAGTGCGTTTGTTTTCCCAACGCGCCTGCAGGCCATGGAGTAGGCCGACCTCGATGAGGACGTAGACGAGGCAGATTATGAAGAAGAAGAAGAAGAGTACTGGTGTGCCAGAATTTCCGCGATGGTCCCGCCGCACTAAATTTCCTGCGGCAGTCGGATGCCTCGGATCGTAGCCCTCAGAGGAAGCCTGGTGACGCTGCCCCTGCTGATGGCGATGCGCCTATTCCTGACGCAGCGGGCAAGAAGTCTGCGGATGCAAGCCCCCTGCCCGTTGCTTCAGCTCCTGTCCCCGGCACCACGCCGTCGGTGACGGCGGCGAAGAAGTTCCGGTACAGGCAGGTGATTCTGCCGTACGCCTCCACGTCGACATGCCAGGATCCGCCTGAGCCTGTGCCGAGCCCCTTTGTACATGCGGATACGCCAGAATCGTCTGGCGGTAGGTCCACTGCTAGAACGAACAAGGACATCTATGCTGAGGCACAAGAGCGTTTCAAATCTCGCTGGTTTGACAGATTCCCTTGGCTCATGCTCTTGAAAACTGACAATGGGCTCCCGGCCTTCAAGTGCAGTGTATGCGCAGTGCATGCAGGACCCGCAGGGCGTACCGGCAAATCGGGCAAGGGAGCAACGGACGTGCAGACCCAGTCGTTCAAGAAGCACGCCGGGACGCAGAAGCATCGCCTCGCCATGTCCAAGCAGGACGATCTCCTGCAACTGACGTCGAACTAGCAGCGGATCGATAAGCATACTTGCGCGGCCGACGAAGAGAAGGAGCGAGTCATCGCGCTGCTTGACTCCCTCTACTTCTGCGCCAAGTGTAACGAACCCATGGAAACATGGATTCGTTTGGTGCGATACCTCTCATCGCGCAGTTTCAAGGGCTTCCCGAAGTCTGCCTACGGCACGTACTATAACTGGTGAGAACTCCAGTGACTATGAACTTCTCTCTGTCTGGTCTTTACATATGTAACGTACAACAACTTGGCTTGTGCGTGTCATGTAATAGGTACGGCTTCGGCGAGCTGACACAAGCGACGGCAACGTGGCTGCAGACGACTCAACTCCAACTCCTGCTGGCGAGTCCCTACATTGGCCTGAGCCTTGACGAAAGCACCGATCGCTGCCGTGGCAAGGACATGATCGTGTTTGCCACGTTCATCCGGGAAGGGCGGCTTGTAACCGAGTACCTGGCTCTGTTGACAGTGGAGAAGGCGGATGCGGCATCGCTTCTCGCCCTCTTGTTGTCCCATCTACAGGCGATTGGCATCGACCTCGGCCGCATCTCTGGCATAAGCACTGACGGCGCTGCCGTCATGATGGGATCGCGTTCTGGACTTGTGGCCCGCCTTCGTCCTCGCGTTCCGCACCTTGCCTCTTGCCATTGCATTGCCCATCGGTTCGTCATCCGTTTGCTGTGTGCATGTCATGTATATTTGCTTCTAGTTTTGTATATAATTCCAATCCCTAATCTGCTTCCTAGTTAGCATCTCATCTCCTTATCCCATTGCAGAGAGGCGCAGGCGGCAAAGGCTGCTGCCGAGGAGATCCCTGTCTTCAGCATGGTGGATAACATCATTCGCGAGATCGCTGAGCTGCTCGGTCGCTCCAACCCTTAGCATCAACGGTTCCTGGAGCTCCAGGAGGTGTTCATGTCGACAAACCTCGAGCTCCAGGGCATCCACAACATCCGCTGGCTGTCGCGCGGAGACGCGGTCATCCGCCTGGTCGAGGTCCTACCAGCCATCGTGGTCATGCTGCAGGAGTACGACGCCAAGGTGTACGCGCTCGTCACCAGTTAGCACTTCTGGCTCCTCCTGATGTTCCTCGCCGACGTGCTAGAGCTGCTGAACGTCCTCAACAAGGTCTTCCAGCAGCGGGAGGTAAATATGTTAAATGCTTGTGTTTGCATATATGTCAATGTTGCTTGTCTCTGCCGCTCGTCCCTTAATCACACATCCGTCAGTGATGCCCTACCTCTCCTCGCCCCCCTACCCACCAGCTGGATTACACAACGGTGCACGCGCAGATCATCCGCACAACCTCACTGCTAGAGAGCCGCTACGTGGACTGCGGAGACGACTTCACCGGCGGGCCCAACGATCGATTGACGTGGTTCCTCGCCAAGCACGGGCCCAGCAAGTCCAAGCTAGTGACAGTGGAGGGGATTGACTCCGATGGCCGACCTTCACGGTTCACCTTCGAGATGCACGAAGAGCCCCAAGAGGACTACCCAGGGCCTAGCGACCACGATGGGAGTGTCGTGGCGTGCATGGCTCTAGCGGAGGGCCTTGTCCGCAACCTCGACGAGCGCCTAGGCAATCTGCGGCAGCTGTCCGGAGCGCGCCTATTCAGCGCCGACACATGGCCGCCCAACTGGGACCGACAGGCACGGAGGACGCAGTGCCTCGAGTGGTTCAATTCTCTCGTGGTCATCTACCGCGCTGAAGACATGGACGAGATTCTGCCAGGTGAATCACCATCTACTCCTTTCAGTATCCCTTTGGCAATGTATCTGAAACAAGACACATATATTTTCCTAAACCCTGTGTACTGTTTCCGATAACCCAACCCTTCTCCCTCTCCTTGTGTGCCCTTGTCTGAGCAGGTATAGACAAGCGCAAAGCCCAGAGCGAGCTTCGCAACTTCGTCCCCGTCCTTGCTGCGCTTCCCAAGGTGGACAAGTCATTCCACGCGGGGCTGAGCGCCTTGCTCAAGACGCAGGACTGGAGGGACAGCTACCCCAACCTGGTCAATCTGTGGGTGGCGGTGGCTGTCCTTTCGTTGAGCACTGTCGAGTGCGAGCGCGGGTTCTCCCGCCAGAACGTCATCAAGAGTTGGCTGCGGGAGGCTCTCAAGGATACTAGGCTAGGAGATCTGATGTGCATGTCGCAGCTAGAGTATGACCCCGACTGGGAAGAGGTGGTCACCATTTGGCGGGCTTATAATAAGAGGAAGCCCCTTAGCAACACCCTGCCCGAGGCTAGTAGCAGCAGGAAGGGAAAGGAGAAAGTAGATGATGATATGCCAACAGTGCCTCAGCAGTATATGCAGGATATTGACTGATTCCGTGTATGTAGTGAAATATAGTGCGTTCTCTAATGAAGAACCATAAAAAAAGCTCATACAAAAGTTTGGCTATGACTCTGATTGATCAGACAAAAAATCGAAGGCTACTCTGATTTTTCAGACTTTTTCAAGGAGGTAACTCTGACACCCATACCAAGGGAAGGCAGTGGACTCTGACGAATCAGACAGGCCCAAAACCAATTTGGGGGCCTGATTGTGAAGCATAGGTGGTAGGAAGAATTCCCCAGCAGATTTCGTTGCAGATGGATGGAGTTCTACTGGTCTCCAACAGAGTTGGACACGCGTGTTTCTCTCTTTCACTTTCAACGTGGCCTGCATGCGACGACCGTTGCCGAGAGCACTACTAACATGGCCCGCACTGGGCAGCAGTGGTAGGAGCAGTGGTAGGAGCAGCGGTCAGCGGCGCCTCCACAAGGTGACTGCGAGGGCAGCCACACCCACTCCGCCCACAGCCACGCCCGCCACCACGCAGCGCCATGCCACGGGGGAGAACCATGGCTTGGGCGGTGGCGGCATGCGCAGCAGTGCTGCCACCTGCATGTGTGCGGGCGGGAAGGGTGCAAGGGGGGTTTGCCATGTGAGTGTGTGTGAGTGTGTGTGTGTGTGTGTGTATGTGTGTGTGTGTGTGTGAAGGGGGAAGGGGGGGGTGGAGGAGGGGGCAGGCAGGCGGGCGGGCGTGCATGTGTGTGCGTGTGTGCATGAGACAGCATGAGGCAGCATGAGGCGGCATGAGGCAGCATGAGGAATGACCGTGCTGGCATGAGATAGCTGCCAAACACGATTGCTACGCAGTAGCGGGTCACATTCACACCGTGCCGCCACACACTGTCTGCAACAACGCATGCCCGTGCCATCAGAACTGTGGCAGCTGCGAGCCATCGCAAAACATACATTGCCAACAGTCATACTTCTCACGAATCGTTTTCATATTTCTATGCTTGCACGCATTTCCTCGCATACATGTCATTGCGCACACCACCAGCTGTTCTCACATCGATATCGGTGCGCGGCCAGTTGGCCTGAATGCCCTCCAGGTGCCCCTTCCCCACCACCGCCACCACTCGCGCACTCCGCCTCGCCACGTGCCGCAGCATGCACGCCATGTACCTGGTGTGCGAGAGGGGGGGTGGGGTGGAGGCGGGGAGAAGGGGGTGGGTGCTGCATGTGAGTAAGGTGGCGAGTAGAAGAGGGGTGGGCAGCATAAGAGGCATGGGTGGGACAAGCACATGTCAGGACAAGCACATGTCAGGACAAGCACATGTCAGGACATGCACATGTCAGGACAAGCACATGTCAGGACATGCACATGTCAGGACATGCACATGTCAGGACAAGCACATGTCAGGACAAGCACATGTCAGGACAAGCACATGTCAGGACATGCACATGTCAGGACATGCACATGTCAGGACATGCACATGTCAGGACATGCACCTGTCAGGACATGCACATGTCAGGACAAGCACATGTCAGGACATGCACATGTCAGGACATGCACATGTCAGGACATGCACATGTCAGGACAAGCACATGTCAGGACATGCACATGTCAGGACATGCACATGTCAGGACATGCACATGTCAGGACATGCACATGTCAGGACATGCACATGTCAGGAGATGCACGGCACATAGTGCGGCAGCGAGAAAGGCGAGCACATGTGGCGCTCGTGGATGAGGGAGGGAGAGGGCAGACGCACATGTCGCGCTCGTGGATGAGGGAGGGAGAGGGCAGACGCACATGTGGCGCTCGTGGATGAGGGAGGGAGAGGGCAGACGCACATGTGGCGCTCGTGGATGAGGGAGGGAGAGGGCAGATGCACATGTCGCGCTCGTGGATGAGGGAGGGAGAGGGCAGACGCACATGTGGCGCTCATGGATGAGGGAGGGAGAGGGCAGACGCACATGTCGCGCTCGCGGATGAGGGAGCGAGAGGGCAGACGCACATGTGGCGCTCGTGGATGAGGGAGGGAGAGGGCAGACGCACATGTGGCGCTCGTGGGTGAGGGAGGGAGAGGGCAGACGCACATGTGGCGCTCGTGGGGAGAGGGCAGACGCACATGTCACGCTCATGGATGAGGGAGGGAGAGGGCAGTCGACATGTCGCGCTCGTGGATGAGGGAGGGAGAGGGCAGACGCACGTGTGGCGCTCGTGGACGAGGGAGGGAGAGGGCAGACGCACATGTGGCGCTCGTGGATGAGGGAGGGAGAGGGCAGACGCACATGTCGCGCTCGTGGATGAGGGAGGGAGAGGGCAGACGCACATGTGGCGCTCGTGGATGAGGGAGGGAGAGGGCAGATGCACATGTCGCGCTCGTGGATGAGGGAGGGAGAGGGCAGACGCACATGTGGCGCTCGTGGATGAGGGAGGGAGAGGGCAGACGCACATGTCGCGCTCATGGATGAGGGAGCGAGAGGGCAGACGCACATGTGGCGCTCGTGGGGAGAGGGCAGAAGCACATGTCACGCTCATGGATGAGGGAGGGAGAGGGCAGACGCACATGTCGCGCTCGTGGATGAGGGAGGGAGAGGGCAGACGCACGTGTGGCGCTCGTGGACGAGGGAGGGAGAGGGCAGACGCACATGCCGCGCTCGTGGATGAGGGAGCGAGAGGGCAAACGCACATGTGGCGCTCGTGGATGAGGGAGGGAGAGGGCAGACGCACGTGTGGCGCTCGTGGACGAGGGAGGGAGAGGGCAGACGCATATGCCGCGCTCGTGGATGAGGGAGCGAGAGGGCAAACGCACATGTGGCGCTCGTGGATGAGGGAGGGAGAGGGCAGACGCACATGTCGCGCTCGTGGGGAGAGGGCAGACGCACATGTCACGCTCATGGATGAGGGAGGGAGAGGGCAGACGCACATGTCGCGCTCGTGGATGAGGGAGGGAGAGGGCAGACGCACGTGTGGCGCTCGTGGATGAGGGAGGGAGAGGGCAGACGCACATGTGGCGCTCGTGGATGAGGGAGGGAGAGGGCAGACGCACATGTCGCGCTCGTGGATGAGGGAGGGAGAGGGCAGACGCACATGTCGCGCTCGTGGATGAGGGAGGGAGAGGGCAGACGCACATGTGGCGCTCGTGGATGAGGGAGGGAGAGGGCAGACGCACATGTGGCGCTCGTGGATGAGGGAGGGAGAGGGCAGATGCACATGTCGCGCTCGTGGATGAGGGAGGGAGAGGGCAGACGCACATGTGGCGCTCATGGATGAGGGAGGGAGAGGGCAGACGCACATGTCGCGCTCGCGGATGAGGGAGCGAGAGGGCAAACGCACATGTGGCGCTCGTGGATGAGGGAGGGAGAGGGCAGACGCACATGTGGCGCTCGTGGGTGAGGGAGGGAGAGGGCAGACGCACATGTGGCGCTCGTGGGGAGAGGGCAGACGCACATGTCACGCTCATGGATGAGGGAGGGAGAGGGCAGTCGCACATGTCGCGCTCGTGGATGAGGGAGGGAGAGGGCAGACGCACGTGTGGCGCTCGTGGACGAGGGAGGGAGAGGGCAGACGCACATGTGGCGCTCGTGGATGAGGGAGGGAGAGGGCAGACGCACATGTCGCGCTCGTGGATGAGGGAGGGAGAGGGCAGACGCACATGTGGCGCTCGTGGATGAGGGAGGGAGAGGGCAGATGCACATGTCGCGCTCGTGGATGAGGGAGGGAGAGGGCAGACGCACATGTGGCGCTCGTGGATGAGGGAGGGAGAGGGCAGACGCACATGTGGCGCTCGTGGATGAGGGAGGGAGAGGGCAGATGCACATGTCGCGCTCGTGGATGAGGGAGGGAGAGGGCAGACGCACATGTGGCGCTCATGGATGAGGGAGGGAGAGGGCAGACGCACATGTCGCCCTCGCGGATGAGGGAGCGAGAGGGCAGACGCACATGTGGCGCTCGTGGATGAGGGAGGGAGAGGGCAGACGCACATGTGGCGCTCGTGGGTGAGGGAGGGAGAGGGCAGACGCACATGTGGCGCTCGTGGGGAGAGGGCAGACGCACATGTCACGCTCATGGATGAGGGAGGGAGAGGGCAGTCGCACATGTCGCGCTCGTGGATGAGGGAGGGAGAGGGCAGACGCACGTGTGGCGCTCGTGGACGAGGGAGGGAGAGGGCAGACGCACATGTGGCGCTCGTGGATGAGGGAGGGAGAGGGCAGACGCACATGTCGCGCTCGTGGATGAGGGAGGGAGAGGGCAGACGCACATGTGGCGCTCGTGGATGAGGGAGGGAGAGGGCAGATGCACATGTCGCGCTCGTGGATGAGGGAGGGAGAGGGCAGACGCACATGTGGCGCTCGTGGATGAGGGAGGGAGAGGGCAGACGCACATGTCGCGCTCGTGGATGAGGGAGCGAGAGGGCAGACGCACATGTGGCGCTCGTGGGGAGAGGGCAGACGCACATGTCACGCTCATGGATGAGGGAGGGAAAGGGCAGACGCACATGTCGCGCTCGTGGATGAGGGAGGGAGAGGGCAGACGCACGTGTGGCGCTCGTGGACGAGGGAGGGAGAGGGCAGACGCACATGCTGCGCTCGTGGATGAGGGAGCGAGAGGGCAAACGCACATGTGGCGCTCGTGGATGAGGGAGGGAGAGGGCAGACGCACATGTCGCGCTCGTGGGGAGAGGGCAGACGCACATGTCACGCTCATGGATGAGGGAGGGAGAGGGCAGACGCACATGTCGCGCTCGTGGATGAGGGAGGGAGAGGGCAGACGCACATGTGGCGCTCGTGGATGAGGGAGGGAGAGGGCAGACGCACATGTCGCGCTCGTGGATGAGGGAGGGAGAGGGCAGACGCACATGTCGCGCTCGTGGATGAGGGAGGGAGAGGGCAGACGCACATGTGGCGCTCGTGGATGAGGGAGGGAGAGGGCAGACGCACATGTGGCGCTCGTGGATGAGGGAGGGAGAGGGCAGATGCACATGTCGCGCTCGTGGATGAGGGAGGGAGAGGGCAGACGCACATGTGGCGCTCATGGATGAGGGAGGGAGAGGGCAGACGCACATGTCGCGCTCGCGGATGAGGGAGCGAGAGGGCAAACGCACATGTGGCGCTCGTGGATGAGGGAGGGAGAGGGCAGACGCACATGTGGCGCTCGTGGGTGAGGGAGGGAGAGGGCAGACGCACATGTGGCGCTCGTGGGGAGAGGGCAGACGCACATGTCACGCTCATGGATGAGGGAGGGAGAGGGCAGTCGCACATGTCGCGCTCGTGGATGAGGGAGGGAGAGGGCAGACGCACGTGTGGCGCTCGTGGACGAGGGAGGGAGAGGGCAGACGCACATGTGGCGCTCGTGGATAAGGGAGGGAGAGGGCAGACGCACATGTCGCGCTCGTGGATGAGGGAGGGAGAGGGCAGACGCACATGTGGCGCTCGTGGATGAGGGAGGGAGAGGGCAGATGCACATGTCGCGCTCGTGGATGAGGGAGGGAGAGGGCAGACGCACATGTCACGCTCATGGATGAGGGAGGGAGAGGGCAGACGCACATGTCGCGCTCGTGGATGAGGGAGGGAGAGGGCAGACGCACATGTGGCGCTCGTGGATGAGGGAGGGAGAGGGCAGACGCACATGTGGCGCTCGTGGATGAGGGAGGGAGAGGGCAGATGCACATGTCGCGCTCGTGGATGAGGGAGGGAGAGGGCAGACGCACATGTGGCGCTCATGGATGAGGGAGGGAGAGGGCAGACGCACATGTCGCGCTCGCGGATGAGGGAGCGAGAGGGCAGACGCACATGTGGCGCTCGTGGATGAGGGAGGGAGAGGGCAGACGCACATGTGGCGCTCGTGGGTGAGGGAGGGAGAGGGCAGACGCACATGTGGCGCTCGTGGGGAGAGGGCAGACGCACATGTCACGCTCATGGATGAGGGAGGGAGAGGGCAGTCGCACATGTCGCGCTCGTGGATGAGGGAGGGAGAGGGCAGACGCACGTGTGGCGCTCGTGGACGAGGGAGGGAGAGGGCAGACGCACATGTGGCGCTCGTGGATGAGGGAGGGAGAGGGCAGACGCACATGTCGCGCTCGTGGATGAGGGAGGGAGAGGGCAGACGCACATGTGGCGCTCGTGGATGAGGGAGGGAGAGGGCAGATGCACATGTCGCGCTCGTGGATGAGGGAGGGAGAGGGCAGACGCACATGTGGCGCTCGTGGATGAGGGAGGGAGAGGGCAGACGCACATGTCGCGCTCGTGGATGAGGGAGCGAGAGGGCAGACGCACATGTGGCGCTCGTGGGGAGAGGGCAGACGCACATGTCACGCTCATGGATGAGGGAGGGAGAGGGCAGACGCACATGTCGCGCTCGTGGATGAGGGAGGGAGAGGGCAGACGCACGTGTGGCGCTCGTGGACGAGGGAGGGAGAGGGCAGACACACATGCTGCGCTCGTGGATGAGGGAGCGAGAGGGCAAACGCACATGTGGCGCTCGTGGATGAGGGAGGGAGAGGGCAGACGCACATGTCGCGCTCGTGGGGAGAGGGCAGACGCACATGTCACGCTCATGGATGAGGGAGGGAGAGGGCAGACGCACATGTCGCGCTCGTGGATGAGGGAGGGAGAGGGCAGACGCACGTGTGGCGCTCGTGGATGAGGGAGGGAGAGGGCAGACGCACATGTGGCGCTCGTGGATGAGGGAGGGAGAGGGCAGACGCACATGTCGCGCTCGTGGATGAGGGAGGGAGAGGGCAGACGCACATGTGGCGCTCGTGGATGAGGGAGGGAGAGGGCAGACGCACATGTGGCGCTCGTGGGGAGAGGGCAGACGCACATGTCACGCTCATGGATGAGGGAGGGAGAGGGCAGACGCACATGTCGCGCTCGTGGATGAGGGAGGGAGAGGGCAGACGCACGTGTGGCGCTCGTGGACGAGGGAGGGAGAGGGCAGATGCACATGTGGCGCTCGTGGATGAGGGAGGGAGAGGGCAGACGCACATGTCGCGCTCGTGGATGAGGGAGCGAGAGGGCAAACGTACATGTGGCGCTCGTGGATGAGGGAGGGAGAGGGCAGACGCACATGTGGCGCTCGTGGGGAGAGGGCAGACGCACATGTCACGCTCATGGATGAGGGAGGGAGAGGGCAGACGCACATGTCGCGCTCGTGGATGAGGGAGGGAGAGGGCAGACGCACGTGTGGCGCTCGTGGACGAGGGAGGGAGAGGGCAGACGCACATGCCGCGCTCGTGGATGAGGGAGCGAGAGGGCAAACGCACATGTGGCGCTCGTGGATGAGGGAGGGAGAGGGCAGACGCACGTGTGGCGCTCGTGGACGAGGGAGGGAGAGGGCAGACGCATATGCCGCGCTCGTGGATGAGGGAGCGAGAGGGCAAACGCACATGTGGCGCTCGTGGATGAGGGAGGGAGAGGGCAGACGCACATGTCGCGCTCGTGGGGAGAGGGCAGACGCACATGTCACGCTCATGGATGAGGGAGGGAGAGGGCAGACGCACATGTCGCGCTCGTGGATGAGGGAGGGAGAGGGCAGACGCACGTGTGGCGCTCGTGGATGAGGGAGGGAGAGGGCAGACGCACATGTGGCGCTCGTGGATGAGGGAGGGAGAGGGCAGACGCACATGTCGCGCTCGTGGATGAGGGAGGGAGAGGGCAGACGCACATGTCGCGCTCGTGGATGAGGGAGGGAGAGGGCAGACGCACATGTGGCGCTCGTGGATGAGGGAGGGAGAGGGCAGACGCACATGTGGCGCTCGTGGATGAGGGAGGGAGAGGGCAGATGCACATGTCGCGCTCGTGGATGAGGGAGGGAGAGGGCAGACGCACATGTGGCGCTCATGGATGAGGGAGGGAGAGGGCAGACGCACATGTCGCGCTCGCGGATGAGGGAGCGAGAGGGCAGACGCACATGTGGCGCTCGTGGATGAGGGAGGGAGAGGGCAGACGCACATGTGGCGCTCGTGGGTGAGGGAGGGAGAGGGCAGACGCACATGTGGCGCTCGTGGGGAGAGGGCAGACGCACATGTCACGCTCATGGATGAGGGAGGGAGAGGGCAGTCGCACATGTCGCGCTCGTGGGTGAGGGAGGGAGAGGGCAGACGCACATGTGGCGCTCGTGGGGAGAGGGCAGACGCACATGTCACGCTCATGGATGAGGGAGGGAGAGGGCAGACGCACGTGTGGCGCTCGTGGACGAGGGAGGGAGAGGGCAGACGCACATGTGGCGCTCGTGGATGAGGGAGGGAGAGGGCAGACGCACATGTCGCGCTCGTGGATGAGGGAGGGAGAGGGCAGACGCACATGTGGCGCTCGTGGATGAGGGAGGGAGAGGGCAGATGCACATGTCGCGCTCGTGGATGAGGGAGGGAGAGGGCAGACGCACATGTGGCGCTCGTGGGTGAGGGAGGGAGAGGGCAGACGCACATGTGGCGCTCGTGGGGAGAGGGCAGACGCACATGTCACGCTCATGGATGAGGGAGGGAGAGGGCAGACGCACGTGTGGCGCTCGTGGACGAGGGAGGGAGAGGGCAGACGCACATGTGGCGCTCGTGGATGAGGGAGGGAGAGGGCAGACGCACATGTCGCGCTCGTGGATGAGGGAGGGAGAGGGCAGACGCACATGTGGCGCTCGTGGATGAGGGAGGGAGAGGGCAGATGCACATGTCGCGCTCGTGGATGAGGGAGGGAGAGGGCAGACGCACATGTGGCGCTCGTGGATGAGGGAGGGAGAGGGCAGACGCACATGTCGCGCTCGTGGATGAGGGAGCGAGAGGGCAGACGCACATGTGGCGCTCGTGGGGAGAGGGCAGACGCACATGTCACGCTCATGGATGAGGGAGGGAGAGGGCAGACGCACATGTCGCGCTCGTGGATGAGGGAGGGAGAGGGCAGACGCACGTGTGGCGCTCGTGGACGAGGGAGGGAGAGGGCAGACGCACATGCTGCGCTCGTGGATGAGGGAGCGAGAGGGCAAACGCACATGTGGCGCTCGTGGATGAGGGAGGGAGAGGGCAGACGCACATGTCGCGCTCGTGGGGAGAGGGCAGACGCACATGTCACGCTCATGGATGAGGGAGGGAGAGGGCAGACGCACATGTCGCGCTCGTGGATGAGGGAGGGAGAGGGCAGACGCACGTGTGGCGCTCGTGGATGAGGGAGGGAGAGGGCAGACGCACATGTGGCGCTCGTGGATGAGGGAGGGAGAGGGCAGACGCACATGTCGCGCTCGTGGATGAGGGAGGGAGAGGGCAGACGCACATGTGGCACTCGTGGATGAGGGAGGGAGAGGGCAGACGCACATGTCACGCTCATGGATGAGGGAGGGAGAGGGCAGACGCACATGTCGCGCTCGTGGATGAGGGAGGGAGAGGGCAGACGCACGTGTGGCGCTCGTGGACGAGGGAGGGAGAGGGCAGATGCACATGTGGCGCTCGTGGATGAGGGAGGGAGAGGGCAGACGCACATGTCGCGCTCGTGGATGAGGGAGCGAGAGGGCAAACGCACATGTGGCGCTCGTGGATGAGGGAGGGAGAGGGCAGACGCACATGTGGCGCTCGTGGGGAGAGGGCAGACGCACATGTCACGCTCATGGATGAGGGAGGGAGAGGGCATACGCACATGTCGCGCTCGTGGATGAGGGAGGGAGAGGGCAGACGCACGTGTGGCGCTCGTGGACGAGGGAGGGAGAGGGCAGACGCACATGTGGCGCTCGTGGATGAGGGAGGGAGAGGGCAGACGCACATGTCGCGCTCGTGGATGAGGGAGGGAGAGGGCAGACGCACATGTGGCGCTCGTGGATGAGGGAGGGAGAGGGCAGACGCACATGTCACGCTCATGGATGAGGGAGGGAGAGGGCAGACGCACATGTCACGCTCATGGATGAGGGAGGGAGAGGGCAGACGCACATGTCGCGCTCGTGGATGAGGGAGGGAGAGGGCAGACGCACATGTCACGCTCATGGATGAGGGAGGGAGAGGGCAGACGCACATGTCGCGCTCGTGGATGAGGGAGGGAGAGGGCAGACGCACATGTCGCGCTCGTGGATGAGGGAGGGAGAGGGCAGACGCACATGTCGCGCTCGTGGATGAGGGTGTGCAGCAGCGAGGGGAAGGCGTGCCCCATCTCCGCCACCGCCAGCGCCAGCAGGTCCGACGACTTGAGCTCCTCCACCTAACAGGCCAGGGGGGGGGTAGGCAGGTGTGAGAGGTGGACGAGGGGGGGCGGAGGGATAGTTTGGTTGCAGTGGGATGGCGCCATGTGCGGACTCCCCCACTCCCTGCACGCTTCAGTCTGCCTGCAACATGCACCACATGACCTCCTACCACTGACCTCCACTGAAACAGCTGTAGGTACACACCTGACAACACACCTGACAACACACCTGGCAGCACACCTGACAACACACCTGACAACACACCTGACAACACACCTGACAACACACCTGGCAGCACACCTGGCAGCACACCTGGCAGCACACCACACCTGTCAGTGCAGGTGGATCACCCACGCAGTGCCCACTGCCACTCCTGTGTTTCACCCATTCATGCTTCCCTCTACGCCCCCCTCTAGGCCGCTCGCTTGCGCTGGTGCTGTGGCCCATGTGCCACTCCGAAACTCCAAGAAAAGAGAAAAGAGAGACTGGATTGAGAGGCCATGAAGCACAGGGAGGGACTGCCCCGCTGTTGACCCGCTGCTGCCATGCTGCACTGCTTGCACACCCCACCCACAGCCCATGCGCTCCAAAGGGTACTGCATTGACTGGCTTGGGCTCACCAGCTGGTCGAGCTCGGCCTTGGACGGCAGCCACAGCGCCTGCAGCAGCAGCAGCGCCACGAGCTTGAGGCGGTGCCAGCGGCTCATCATGGCCCACGTGCGCCGCAGGGTCACCTGCAGGGAAGCGCATGTGGGCGCACAGGGGTGGGGCGCACAGGGGTGGGCGCACAGGGGTGGGCGCACAGGGGTGCACAGGGGTGGGCGCACAGGG